AATTAACTTTTACAAACTAATCCCTTTGAGAAAAGAACATGTTTCTGGTCCATGATAATCAGAATTGTCTCACTGACTGTCACTAGGAGATAACTTGATACTCTCCATATCTTTTGTTTAAATAGAAATACTTTCCACTGAAGGGTGGGATAAAATTGTTCATAAATTTAAATAAAAGGAAAAATAAAGCAGTTTTGGACCCAATGCTCTTCAATATCTTCATAAATGATCTAGATGAAAGAATAGATGGAGAATTCATCAAATACAGATGACACTTAGCTGGCAGGAAGAGTCAACACATCAGAAGACAAGCTCAAGTTCCAAAAAGACCTTGACAGACTTGAACACTGGGACTTGTCTAACCAAATGGAATTTAATGTAGAAAAAGTAAGGTTCTACACTTAGGCAAGAAAAACTAACTGTATAGGTACAGGCTAGGTGAAACTTGGCTTAATGCCAGTAATTGTGAAAGGGATCGTGGAGTCTTAGTGGATAATCACTTAAATATGAGCCAATAATATGCGGCAGTAGCCAAAGAAGCCAATGCAATCCTACGCTGTGTTAATAGAGGGAAAGAATCAAGATCATGTGAAGTTCTAGTACTGCTTTCCAAAGCCTTAGTAATACTGCATCTGGTTCTGATCACCATAATCACAAGATATTGAGCCTCTGGAAAGAGTGCAGAGAACAGCAAAAAACATGAGTAGTGGGTTGGCGGCTAAAATATGAAGAACCATTACAGGAATTGGGTCTGTGTAGTCTAATGAAAAGAAGGACTAGGGGAAACAGGATAGCAGTCTTCCAATATTTGAGAAGCGCCTACAAGGATGAGGTGGCCAAACTATTTTCCAAAGCATCAAAAGGCAAGATGAGAAACAATGGATGGAAACTAACCTAGGAGAGGAACAACCTAGAACTAAGCAGAAATCTAACAGTGAGAACAATCAACCAATGCAATAACTTATCTTCAGAGATTGTAGCTGCTCTACCATTTGGAGGCTTTTAAAAAGAGACTGGACAATCATTTATCGCAAATGGTATAGGGTTTCCTGCTGGAGCAGAAGGTTGGACTTGAAAACCTCCAAGGTCCCTTCCAACTCTGTTATTCTATGTTCTAAGAAGCAGGGAATCACCAGTTTGGTCTAATGGTTATGGCACCAGATAGAAAGCAAGAGCCTATGAGTTCAGATCCTTCCTTAGCCATGAAAGCCAGCTGGGTTACTTTAGGCAGTCACTCTGTCAACCCAATCCACGTCATAATGTGGGAAAAATAGGAGGAGTAAGGTAGGATATATTCCCTGCCTTATTAGTAAAATAGTAAAGGTAGAAAGTGTATGTGTGAATAAATTATATAAATAAGAAAGAGAATGTTCCAAGCCTTCTTTCTTCTTAATTCTAACTGGTGTTAGAATAATAGGCACAATACAAAGTCTGAAATTCAAAAGGATGAAAGCTCTTTTATTGACAAAATATAACAGCCCTATCAACAAAGAACAGCCTCAGTTTATTATAAAACCCAGTTCTCTTCCAGGAGCCGAAAAGAAACATTAAAAATAAAATTTAAGCATACCAGTAGATTATAGTCACGTTGAAAGGAAACCTATTTTAGAAATAAATGTCTGCTTTGTTGTCGTAGATGTTTACAGAGAATCCTTTATCATAGATAATAATAGAGATCATTGTTGCAAATTGGAATATATTTTTGAATAAAGAGACAATATTTGAAGAGACAATATAGTTGACTCTTGAAATTTTAAAGGGTAAATTAAAAAATAACTCCTAAAATAATCAAATTTCCAGTTGTTGGAAAAAAGCTTTGCATATATCTAAGATCATAGGTATGGCATAGATATACATCTATATATGGCTATAACTCTATGAGGATCTCAATTGAGAAAAACATAAAATAAAAATGAAATATAATTTTAATGAAATTCATGTATGTCAATTAAAACCTGTTGAAAATAATAATTGAAAGTACATTGAAAATAAATTAGTACTAAAATGCTACAACCATTATTAAACATGTCTATAAGTACAGGCGAAACTCGAAAAATTAAAATATCGTGCAAAAGTTCATTTATTTCAGTAATGCAATTCAAAAGGTGAAACTAATATATGAGATAGACTCATTACATGCAAAGCAAGACAGTTCAAGCCGTGATTTGTCATAATTGAGATGATTATGGCTTATAGCACATGAAAACCCCAAATCCACAATCTCAGAAAATTAGAATATTGTGAAAAGGTTCAATATTCTAGGCTCAAAGTGCCCCACTCTAATCAGCTAATTAAGCCATAATACCTGCAAAGGGTTCCTGAGCCTTTAAATGGTCTCTCCGTCTGGTTCAGTAGGAATCACAATCATGGGAAAGACCGCTGACCTGACAGTTGTGCAGAAAACCATCATTGACACCCTCCATAAGGAGGGAAAGCCTCAAAAGGTAATTGCAAAAGAAGTTGGATGTTCCCAAAGTGCTGTATCAAAGCACATTAATAGAAAGTTATGTAGGAGGGAAAAGCGTGGAAGGAAAAGGTGCACAAGTAGTAGGGATGACCACAGCCTGGAGAGAATTGTCAGGAAAAGGCCATTCAAAAGTGTTGGGGACTTTCACAAGGAGTGGACTGAGGCTGGAGTCAGTGTATCAAGAGCCACCACACATAGACGGATCCTGGACATGGGCTTCAAATGTCGTATTCCTCTTGTCAAGCCGCTCCTGAACAACAAACAACGTCAGAAGCGTCTTACCTGGGCTAAAGAAAAAAAGAACTGGTCTGTTGCTCAGTGGTCCAAAGTCCCCTTTTCTGATGAGAGCAACTTTTGCATCTCATTTGGAAACCAAGGACCCAGAGTCTGGAGGAAGACTGGAGAGGCACACAGTGCAAGATGCTTGAAGTCCAGTGTGAAGTTTCCACAGTCTGTTGATTTGGGGAGCCATGTCATCTGCTGGTGTTGGTCCACTGTATTTCATTAAGTCCAGGGTCAACACAGCCATCTACCAGGAGATTTTGGAGCACTTCATGCTTCCTTCCACAGACGAGCTTTATGGGGATGCTGACTTCATTTTCCAGCAGGACTTGGCATCTGCCCACACTGCCAAAAGCACCAAAACCTGGTTCAATGACTGTGGGATTACTGTGCTTGATTGGACAGCAAACTTGCCTGACCTGAACCCCATAGAGAATCTATGGGGCATTGCCAAGATAAAGATGAGAGACATGAGACCGAACAATGCAGAAGAACTGAAGGCCGCTATTGAAGCATCCTGGTCTTCCATAACACCTCAGCAGTGCCACAGGCTGATAGCTTCCATGCCACGCCACATTGAGGCAGTAATTGCTGCAAAAGGGGCCCAGACCAAATATTGAGTGGATATGCATGCTTATACTTTTCAGAGGTCTGATATTGTTCTATGTACAATACTTGTTTTATTGATTGCATGTAATATTCTAATTTTCTGAGATTGTGAATTTGGGGTTTTCATGAGCTGTAAGCCATAATCATCACAATTATGACACATCACGGCTTGAACTATCTTGCTTTGCATGTAATGAGTCTATCTCATATATTAGTTTCACCTTTTAAGTTGCATTACTGAAATAAATGAACTTTTGCACGATATTCTAATTTTTTGAGTTTTACCTGTAGAAGATAAGGTTAATTAAGATATTTTCATGAATGAAGGCAAATATATGTGTCCCAGGATAATGTTGCAGAATCCAATCTGGGTCAGTCATGAGGACCAGAGATTTTGACTTCTGAGCTTTCAGACTCATACTGGTCCATCCTCCAGGATGGCCTCCAGCAGAAGCCCAAAAGCTTGGAAGATTAGACTTCTAGTCCCAGTGACTGATCCAGGTTGGATCCTACAAGACATTTTCAATTTCGATAAAATTCAAATACTGCTTCTAAGAAATTTAATTTTCTTATCGAATCAAATTATTGTAAATTATAGGTAGTCCTTGCTTAGTCATTCATTCAGCGATCATTCAGAATTATGACATTGCTGAACTAATGGCAGCCACAACCAGTTCTTGAAGTTTTGGCCACTCAATACCCCTGCAATCATAAATAAATTTTTTTAGATGTTTGGCAACTGGCCTACATTTACAACTGCAATGTGTTTTTCAATTCTTGGTATCCATCTGTATCCCCCCATCTTTGTTTTTTTTGGAAGCTCTGCATTCCACTGCCACTCCCCTCAACAGGCCTTTACTTCTTTCTCTTAATGTTGGCCCAAATCCAGTATTGGGTGAGGGTGCAGCTCTGGGATATGCACACAGTGAGTACAGCAGGATGGTGAAGCCTTGTCTGCTAAAAGGTGCTTGCCAGACCAAATTAGGAAGAGGCAGCAGGACAGAGCCAGCAAAGGTTGCAGTAGGGCCAACAATTCCCTGGATAATTATCAATCTTATACAGTATTACCACCTGTGCCATCACTATGGCTTCTTTACCAACTCCATCCCTCTTTCCTCCCTTGACGGCCCAGCAAGCTCCCTTTGATATATGAGAGTCCGCTACATTATTTTTCTTACTGAACACATCCTAGGACCATACCCTCAGCTAGGATCTGGATCCTGGGCCAGCAGAAGAGGGAAGAAGGCAGTGAAGGTTAAAAGAGGATGGCAGGGGTAGTGTGCTGGGTGAACACAAGGGCGGAGATGGGAAGACATGGAAGTTGAGGTGGAGGGAAGCAATGTACCAGTAGTACTGTACAGCCTCATTTGCTGAATGGAGCTTGCCAGGCCCAACTGGAGAGGGAGCAGCAGGCCCAAACCAGCTGTTCACACAGGACAAGAGAAACATGAGGTAACTGACTAACTACTGCAACCAAGATAACCAGAACTACCGTCTCTTAAGTGGAGCATGATGTTTCCCCTAATAACTGCTTTGCTTAGTGATGAAAATTCCAGCCCCAATTAGTTGTTCAGTAGGGACTAACTATATCAGAAAAACAGCAAGATTATATTTAATTTATTTTTACTATTATAATTTTCAGAGAAGAAACATTCCAATGAAGCCACCAGATGATCTCAAAGTAAGTTGCATTGCATCTCTAAACCTCTTGTTAAAAAAAATAGTTTCTTTACTGTAAATGGTTCTGAAAATATAAGGGAAAGATTTCATTCATGTAATAAATGAAGATAATAGTTGTATTATTGTAAAATTTCTTACTCTAGTATTCCTGATTTTTAGAACACTTTTAACGCTTATTTCAGGAGAAAAGAATGTTATCTACTTTTTCCATGATTTTTCCTATTAAACTATTAGAAATCCCTTAAATAAAAGTCATACTATTTTGTTGCTGTAACTCTAGTGATGCAAAAATGATAGTTCCATAAGGAAAATGATTATGAGGTATAAATTAGCTTTAAACGTGATGTTTTTAGGTTCCATCAGTCCTCATAAAAGAAGAACATAAGTTATGTAATACTTGCCCAGATGACTCCAAGCAAAATATGGTAATATTTCTTTTTAAGTTTAATTTTTTCTTAACTTATTATTTCAAATAGTTGGTTATTAGCATTTTCTACCTCCTTTTTAATTTTCCTTTCCTTTTTTCTTTTAAGATTACAGGCCTTATTCTTTGTTCCTCTCTCTCACTCTGTCTCCCCTTCCTTCTCACATACACACAAACACACACACAGAACACATGCAGGTCATAGGTCAGCAGCTGATCCAGGTCAAGAATATACGTAGTCTTTGACTTACAACTGTTCGTTTAGTGACCATTTGTAGTTACAATGGGACTGAAAAAAGTGACTTAAGATCATTTTTCACACTTCTGACCATTGCAGCATCCCCAGGGTCATGTGATTTACATTCGGATGCTTGACAGCTGGTTCATATTTACGGTTTCACTGTCCCTGGGTCATGTGATTATAAAGTCAATGGGGAAGCCAGTTTCATTTAACAACTGTGTTAGTAATTTAAGAACTGTAGTGATTCATATGTGGCAAGAAAAATTGTAAAGTGGGACAAAGCTCACTTAACAAATTTCTTACTTAGCAATATTAATTAGCTTGCACATAGTAGTTCAAATAGACTTGGAGTAAAACTGAGGGTTTTTTGCACATAAATATACTATCCACAAGCTCAAACTAATCAGTTTCATATGATTTATATGTACAAGGGATGTTACATGTGATAGGGCCCAGAAAAGATGATAATTATATCTGTGTCTGTTAAAATTTTGTGGACTCCTTGATTGACCAAAGCAAGGATGGGCAATGTATGGCCTATCAGTGATCCATGATTTCTAAGGCGAATGTAAGAGAAATATGTAGATCTGAATGAAAGTAATTTGATCTTGTCAAGTTGATGACTCAATGCTAGAAGTTATGGTTAAGGAACAAAAAGGCAAAAATGTATCTCAGAAAGTATGAATTGTAATTTCATTGGTGTAATGTAGGTTGTATATATGACAATAGGATGATCCAGTTTTTGGTTAGGAGTTGTGTTGAACAAACATTTCAAAATGATTCGGCGAACATAAAATTTATTCCTTAATAAGAAAGTTGTTGCAAATAGCATTTTACTGAATTTTTAGCCCAAGATATGCAAACAAAAAATAATTGCATATTTGCATAGTAAATATTTTTTCACATTTGGCTGCTGTACAGAAATAATGAAACATTCATGTTGTTGAAACTTTATTTACATTTTACTAAATACTGAATTTATAACAGCTTTTAGTAATGCATATTATAGCTAATTAATCCATTGCATAGGTATAATTTTCTTTCTTTTTTCCAGATTGGAGAAGCCATTGGAGATAATAATAATTCTGTTTTGGACTTTTTATCTATGAAAACTTATTCAGATATGTCACTTGATATATCCATGTTGAGTTCATTAGGTAGGTGTTCTCATGCAATAGATTAGCACGGAAGGTAAAAATACAGTGCTATATCTATTATCTATTCCATTGGTGCATTAAAATGTTTGGGAATTACTGGGTTTTGACATAAACTTTATAATATATATGCCTTTTAATGCTTTGCTATGAAAATCATGGGTTCTACTCTAGATGGCAGCACCTGGAGGGAGACAGAACTATAAAAATGATGTAATATCTTCATATGTTCTTTGTGGTTATAACATAATAACACATGTGTGTATGAATTAATGAAAGGGGTGGCGCATTCTGAGAAAAACAGTGTCTACAGATGTTCATAGCTTCAGGTTGGTTGTCAGTTATCTAAACTAATGCTCATCTATTCTGTTTAAATTGCAAAGTCGAGCAGCCTATGACTGTGCTCCCAGTGCTAATATATGCTTACTTACTTTATTCCATCTAAACTGCTGGGAAGAATGCTCAGCTATAACAGCTCCTTTTCTTAAAAAAGAACACGTAGAAGATCTTGCCACAGTTTAAATTTTCCTTGCGCATCCAATAAGTCCTTATGTTTAATCATCTTAGTAATATCCAGATTATTTGGGTGGATCATCGCTTCCATTGTTGAAATCCAGATTGGTATCTTTAAATAATGTTTTTTCCTTATTTTCTTCCAATTGGTCAGTAATGCATCTCTAATTAAATGTCTGTGAAAGTATTTCTGGGTGGTTTTCCTAATATCCCATAAAAAAGCATGCCACCCCCTCTGTAAGTCGTGGCCTTCTAAAACTAATATTGTCTTGTTTGTTAAATTCACCCATTCCTTCAACCATACTAAGGAGGCCGCACTATAGTTTGGAAGGGCCATTCCCCCCTCCCTCGCTCTTGATATCTTGCATTGCCTTTAAATTTATTCTCAGTTTTTTCTTTTGCCAAATGAATTTTGTAATTATTTTATTAAGTTCTTCAAAATACTTTTTGTGTACTTTAATTGGTATCATCTGAAATATATACAGAAATTTTGGGAGAATAGACATTTTAATCGTAGCTATCCTACCTAATAATGTGTGTTGCAATTTACCCCATGTTTCTAAATCCTTCTTTACCTTTTGCAATAGTTTGTCATAATTATTTTCTTTTGGTGTTTTACAATGTGCTGTCAGCCATATTCCCAAGTATTTAACTTTCTTTATCACTTGAAATCCCATGACCTTTTCTAATTCTAACTTCTGTTTTCCTGTTAGATTTTTAGTCATTAATTTCGTTTTCTTTCTATTAATTTTTAATCCTGCAATTACTCCAAATTGTTCTAATTCGTTCATCAGTTTTTGTCCTCTTTCAGTTGGCTGTTCGATAAAAAAAATCACGTCATCTGCAAACGCTTGCAGCTTATATTCTTCTTTCTTAACCTTTAATCCTTTTATGTCTGTTTTATTAACCTTTAATCCTTAGTAATGTTTCCAATGATAATATGAAGAGCAGGGGTGAGAGTGGGCAACCCTGTCTGACTCCTTTCTCTATTTTAATTGGGCAGGTATATTCCCCATTTATCCTGATTTGTCTGTTCGGGAGAAATCCATTTTGGTCTTGATGAATAAAATCATTCGAAATTCTTTTTACTCTGTTTGCAACAATAGAAGCAAATATTTTATAATCCGTATTTAACAAGGAAATTGGCCTGTAGTTTTGTGTATATTGGGGGTCCAAATCTTCCTTCGGGATCAGCAAAATCAATGCGCCCGTCAATAAGTCTGGCATTCTGGCTGCCAATAAGACATCGTTAAAATCTTCCACCATAAAGGGTCCTATTGCCTTATATAATTCCCCTGGGATCCCATCTGGTCCCAGAGATTTACTATTTTTCTGGTTCTCTATTGCTGTTTTCAATTCAGACCAAGTAATATCTTTGTTTAATAATTCTTTCATCTCTTCCCCAATTACTTTATCTTTCATTTTATCTAAATATCTTCTTAGCCTATCCTCACTGACCTCTTCCTTTTTATATAAGTCTTCAAAATACTTGTGGGCAATTTCTTTTTTCTGTTCTATCCCCTTTTGTGTATCTCCATTTCCATCTATTAATTGGTAAATCAATTTTTTTTCTTTCCCTTTTTTAAGTCTATAGAACAACCATCTCCCTGGCTTATTAGCGTACTCAAAATAAGTTTGTCTAGTTGAATTCAATTTATAATCATTCTTTCTTGTTCAATTAAATTCAATTTGTGTTTAATTATTGTCATCTGGTTTTGCAATCTTGAATCCTTTGGGGTATTTTGTAATTGGATTTCTAATTCTTTAATTTTTTGTTGTAGTTTATTTTGCTGGCCGTATTTTTCTTTATTCCTCTTGGCATTATAAGAGATTGTTATACCTCTTATATGCCTTCATTGTGTCCCAAATATTTTGTTTCGTAGTTGCTCTACTGTTATTTTCTTTTAAGAAATAATTTAATTCCTCCTTAAGTTTGTTCATATATTCTTTTTCTCTAATTAACTGCATATTTAGTGTCCACCTTTTCCTGGTTTTTTTTCTACCTTTCCAAATTATCTGAGTTGGATTGTGGTCTGCCCATTCATTAGGTAAAATTTCAATCTCTTTTTTTTCATTTGCTATTTTCCCATTCATCCATGCCATGTCAATTTGTGTCCATATTTGGTGGGGATTTGAATAAAATGTAAACTGTTTTTTCTCAGGGTTTAACCTTCTCCATATATCAATCAAATTTAACTCCCTCATCATTTCCATACATGTTTTTGGAAGCTCTCCTTTTTTTCCATGTTCCTCCCCCCAATACTGTGGTCTTTTTGATAATCAGCAATAGCATTAAAATCCCCTATGATACAAGTATTTCTTTTTTCCATTCCTGCTATTTTTTCAAAACTCTTTTTGCTCTCCATTCGGGGCATAGATTACCACTAAAAGGATTGGGATAGCATTAATCCAGATCTGCAAAACCAGACCAAGGAGTACAAATTGATAGATGGGCATATCTTCAAATTCAGAGTAGATACAAACAGGATAAGAAAGAATTTGGAATCAATAATAAACTCCAGCAACTAGACAAAATTCTATTAGGCCCAGATAAAAAAAAATAACAAAATTTTATAATTATTTACTAGAGGAAGAATTAGAGGAAGAAATTGTCAAAGGTAATATGATAGCCTGGAGTAGGAATAGGATGTAGTATCACCTTAATAGAATGGGAGAAGGTCTGGAGTAGAAGCAACAAAATCACAAAATCGGCAGCCTACAAGGAAAATGCCTACAAGATGTTTTACAGATGGCACCTTCCCCCCTCGAGATTAGTGAAAATGCGCCCCAACATGAGTCCGAATTGCTGGAAATGTAAGAAAAAGGAGGGAACTTTCTTCCATATGTGGTGGTCTTGCATAGAGGCTCAAAAATACTGGCAGAAAATTAGAAAATGGTTGGAGGAAATAACAATAGAACAGATCGAATTTAAACCAGAATTCTTTTTATTAGGGATTTTTAATAAACAACTCTCAAAAAAAGTGAAGTACACAACAATACATATTTTGACAGCGGCCAGACTAGCCTTTGCACAATGTTGGAAGCAACCTCATATTCCATCAGAGGAAATGATTATTCAAAAAATAGCAAATTGAGCAGAGATGGACAGATGAACTTTGGCATTAAAAGGAGAAGATACATCAATGTATTACGACAGCTGGAATTGTTGGTACGAATGGATGGAAAAAAGATCGAGTAAACAATAAAGGGCCAAAGAAAATAGGTTGTAATTGTAGTAGTGAATAT